ATTATTTTAACATTATATATAATCTTAATCTATTAATCTGTAATGTAAGGTAGGATTGGATCGTAAATTAATTTGATGAAAAAAGGACTTTGATTAGGGCAGGGAATAAATATAATTTGTTGGTTATTTGTAATCGTCAACTATCAACAGTTTAGTACACAAAAAACCTTTTATTTTATTAATTTTGATTCATACATCATTTTTACAAAAAATTAATTTAATTCGAAACCATATGTGCTAAATGCGACATTATTCTCACATTATGTATAATCTTAATCTATCAGTGTTGGGTATTGTTAATATCAACTAGTAATTAATCTGTAATGTTAGGTAGGATTGGATCGTAAATTAATTTGATGAAAAGGGGACTTTGATTATGGCAGGGAATAAATGTCATTTGTTGGTTATTTGTAATCGTCAACTATCTAACGGTTTAATAAACAAAAAAATCGTTTATTTTATTAGTCTTGATTAATAGATCATTCTTGTAAAAATTCAATTTAATATAAAATCATATGTGTTAAATGCAACATTATTGTCACATTATATATAATCTTCATCTAACAGTGTTGGGTATTGTTAATATCAACTAGTAATAGTATTAATCTGTAATGTTAGGTAGGATTGGATCGTAAATTAATTTGATGAAAAGGGGACTTTGATTAGGGCAGGGAACAAATATCCTTTGTTGGTTATTTATAATCGTCAACTATCAACAGTTTAATAGACAAAAAAAAGTGTTGATTGAGACGAGACATCCGATGAGACAGTAACTTTCATCCGCCATAATCTGTATGAGCATCTTGGCATCCGTATAACACTTAAATTAAGGAGAGATCTTAGATTTCATTTTCTTCAAATGTGAATTAAAAGAAACAACATGAGATTGGGTTACCTCTTTGTCTTTATAGTAAATAATATTATTTGTTAAAAAATATAATATTTAGTTTTAAATTTCTTTCGTGTTTACTAACAATCAAAAAAGGTATTACTTTCTCTTAAAATTTGTAATTAAATACCTGAGTATCATGAATCATATCAACTAGAAAGATTGTTCATCTGATTCTCTTCATTATTTTTACCATTTTTAAGCTCTTCGATTCCCTCTTTATTTCATTGGTGTCATGTAAACTTGACGTGAAACTACATTATTTCATTTGCAACAAACTAGGCTTCGAAGCATGTTATTTTAATATTAACAAAGGAAAACAAGTATTATTGACTCTAAGTTACAAAGACACCGTGATTAAAAAAAATAAAAAATAAAAAAAATCATAGATCTAGGATTCTCGACAGAAGACAGAGCAATCAGTTTTAACGTCGCGACTCCCACAGGCCGATGCCGATAGAAACCATCATGCATATATTATTGTTCAACGGCAAGTTGTATAAACTAGCACCAATATATTTATGGATAGTACTTGGCTGTTGAAAGAATTAACAGCATCCATATTGATCACCAATCACGACTGGACATGTGTTCAAGTTGTGATTAAAAAATTCACAACTTGAACACGTGTCCAACCGTAATTGATTACTAGCAGGGGATGATGCTGGATCTTCAACAGCCAAGTCCCGTTCTATATTTATTTGTAATTTGTAAAAATAGAGGGAATATTATAAAAGAGAATCATAATAAATGGGAAGTCAGAGGTTAGAGCATCTTAAAATGAGATGTCAAAATTGCCACGTAGGCATATAACAGTAAAAAATGGCAGCAAACTCTCTCCAACCAAACCTTCAATTTCTTAGGTGGGGCTGAATCATTTGAAGGCAAAGCCTGTTGCTATCAAATTTGACAGCAGATGTCAAATTTATTAAATGATATTTTAATAGATTAATATAATATATAATAAATGTTATATTTTTGAAATATTTGATTAGTTGCCTTAATCATTGGACTCCACAAAAAGATAAAAAATTTATTAAATGACATTATTATTTAACATATTGGGTGGAGCAAAATATTGTACAAAATATCAAATTGCCACATAAGCTATCAATTATCATTTTGATGTTTAAAATTTGATATCTTATTTGAAAATGCTCTTAAACCTTATATTTGAACGACGAAAAGTAGAAGAGAATTTTTTTTTTTTTTATAAGTCTAAAATGGGAAGAGAAATTGTGTGCAAGAATAAATGATGTTGAGTTTTATGAGATAGTTGGAGGGGTCGGTATAGGGCATCCATTGGTATAAACTACTAAATAAAGTATGTATTGTTATTGTTGGATATTGTATCACTAACATGTACGTTTTTGTGAATGAATGTGTGCCAACTATGAGCTGATTACATCAGCTAGACAAACAAAATATATGTGGTGCTGGTGGGTGGTGGTGTTAAATGCTGACTTTTGTAGTTGAACAATTACGTCAAAGGAAGGAACACCTCTTGACCTTGTTATAGAACCTGAAGACAAGGTTGTCTAGATCACTACGAGTTCATGATCTCCTACACCAGGTTCAGCTGCCTTGATTATATTCATGAGAATATATGTGCGCCAAATCGGTATCAGGGACACGAGCACTTAAAAAAGAGAAACATTTTATGATGAACATCTAAATGCTGAACTGTATTTCAAGAGAGTGATACCCATTCTATAGGATGTTAATGAAGTGATCTCTTACTAGTTGAGACTTAGATCACTAACCAGCCATAAGCAATGATAATTAGTATTTTGGGTTAAGATAATTAGCGTTTTTTCTCAACAAATGTGATAAGACGTTTTACATACTAAGATAATTAGTGTTTTTTCTTAACGAATGTGATAAGACGTTTCACATATCACTTGAATTTTTGCATAAAGCGTTTGAGTTGTTTATTAAGTTGGAAAAGGCCTTCTGAGTTGCACAGTCACTTGTATTTATAGGATAAATACGCTTGAACGTGTTGTAGAGTCCATACGGTGACTACCAATTACCTTTTGATGATAATCGAAACCATCTTCCGTCCGTTGTATCACTATAATCATCCTTATCCTAATTGACACTTGGCGTGCGACCAGGAGTAATATCCCAAATGGATGGCACATGCGGAAAAGTCATCCCTTGAGTAATCCCTTCCACGTTGAAAAGTCAGCCCCTTATGCTTTCTTCCCTCAATGCCACGTTGAAAAGTCATCCCTTGAGTAATCCCTTGCCACGTTGAAAAGTTATCCCTTTATCCTTTCTTCCCTCAATACCACGTTGAAAAGTCATCCCTTGAGTAATCCCTTGCCACGTTGAAAAGTTATCCCTTTATCCTTTCTTCCCTCAATACCACGTTGAAAAGTCATCCCTTGAGTAATCCCTTGCCAACACACGGATCCCCAAAACAACTAGCAATGGATCATGCATGATTTTCTGAGCTCATAAAAAATATTAAAATTTAACTGAGGATCCTAAGGATCTTTACATTATGTTCGTTCTTCGTATATCGTGTGGTCATAAATTATTATAAATATTTTTATTTAAAATTTAACACAAACAGTACATGATGAAAACTAACTGATGTATGATAAACGAACGCGATGTGAGGATCCTCACAAAGAGGATACTCATTCAATTTAACTCATTACTTGTAAGGAGAGATCTTAGGTTCGATTCTCTACAAGTGTAAATTTGAACCACATTATTGCTAGCACATTGTAAAGCTAAACCCACCCATCCCCTTAGATTATATCGTTTGTAAAAAAATAGATATTAAAATTTAAGAGCGTTAGTTTCATAAAACAATGATGCAAAAAAAAATGTGAGAGGTCTTGAGTTCGATATTCCGAGCTGATGAGTTTGCTTGACCATGACCATGGATAGAGTGAAATTCTCCATAGCCTTTCAAGCCCAAAATGGATGAATAACCGTAATTTACTATCAGTTACCCTTTTTTTTTAAAGATAAAAAAAAATAATAATAACGTTCAAACAGTATAATAAAAAGAAGAAACAAGATAACAAGCGTTCGGTGTTTGAATTTATCTATAGAGTACGATGTGTATGAGAGCGGACTTTACGAGCATTGTTGTTATGCACTTTGCTAGATATTATTTGAGTGGAAGGGAGGGAACTGGCAAGCACACAAGAGGCGACCGAGAGGGAGTGGTGGTGGCCTGGCCTGGAGTGGACAAGGTGCGAGAGTTGTTAGTCACCGGTTCCCACTTTGTCAACTTTATTTTAATTCAAAAATTTCTGCTGGTCTATTTATTCTTAGTCATCCGTACGACCCTACTTTGTCAACTTTATTTTAATTCAATAATGTCTCCTGGTCTTTTTGTGGCTGACTTTGAAATCCCCATCTCTTCGAATTGCAGCGGCAGCTTAATCTTAATATCGGCTAAAAAAGTATAAAGTTAGTTCACCAAAAAAAAAGTATAAGGTTAAAGAAAAATAGAGATAAATGGTTGATCTAGAAAAAAATTTGTAAATTAAATAATATGAAAATTGGTGATTAAATTATTACTTAAATATTGATTAATGTACTTATTTCTTATACTTAACAAATTTAATCTACCTAATATTATTATATGTATTTACTTTGGATGTTGGACGGATGCATTCGCCTAAGAATATGAATCAATGAACCAATGAGGAAAAATTCAACATGTTAAAGTTAAAGGTCGATTGTTTGTTTGTTCGTATTGTTGTATGCTATGGCTAAGGAATTGACCCTTCCTACCTCGAGCAATTTTCTGTGGTAAATTTAGTACTAGTTTGGTACTATGGTGTTTTTATAAAAAATGGGTATAAAAAAAAGTTGAGCTCAAAAATGTATTGGCAAACATTTAAAAATAGCTTATTTTCATAATTTTAGATGAAAAAAAAATTGAAAATGCGAAGGTATATCATATCCACCTATTAAATTTTCTCAAACTTTTCAGCGCAAATTTATTCGTTAAATTCATGCATTTTTTTTAGTAGAGCGATAGCATTAATTGGTTAAATAGTTATTTATTAAGGAAAACTAATGAAAAATGTTTGAAACCCCTAAGTTTTAACGATAAAGACAAAATAAAAGGTAAAGTGAATAGTACATGATTGACTTTTTAGTGTTAAAATGTGGGTTTTTGTTAAAATGAACAGTACCAGATAGGGTCCAAATTTGGAGGGACCGAACTAGACCCGCTTAAAAAGGAAATGGGTTGGGCATTGCAAATCTAATCACCAGACCTAACCCGACCCATTTGAAACGGGCCGGGTACATGGATCCTTTGTTTTTTTTTTTCTTTTCCCCACCTAAACCCTTTGTTGGCAGCGCCGCAGTCCGATTTCCCTTGCTTGTCGACTTTTGAGTAAGATGACGATGGCGGTGGTGACGATGATGATGGATGATCGGACCGCGATGATGGGGATGACGTTGAGTTTTGAATCGGCAAGGACACCACCCAACACCTGCTCGCCATTCAATCCACCATCATAGAAAACCCCTAAATCAGTAACCCTAGTCCCTAAAACAACACAATAGATGACACACCCCAACCTTGAAATCACAACACATCAAGAACAACCCAAACAATCTTAGATAGAAAAGAGGTAGCCTCACCTGAGTTCTAAGTAGAGCTTAAAGCTCTCGGACTCCATGGAAGAACACCTCACAGTGCTCCAATGGTGCATGCAAAACCACCATATAATTCCTTGTGTCCCATAAGTCTCAAAAGTAAAAGTTTGGGGGTTTTATTTGGACAAAAATGGCGTGGGTGATGGTGGTCTCCTTCTCGAAGCTTAGAGAGAGAGAGAGAGTTCAAGTGTTACAGAGAGAGTGAGGCTGCTTACAGACATAAGGGAAAAAGGGTGTGGGTCACGGGTGAGGGAAAGTAACTTGACTTTGGGCCGAGTGAACAAACTACTAATAGTGAGAATAGGGAGAAACGGACCAGCTGGGGCCCCTTTTTCTAAGGCCTTTGCACCCACCCCGCCCGAATAATTTTGTGAACCAGCCCCGGCCCGCCCCGTTTTGTCTTTACAAATTTAAAACCCACCCCATATCCGTCCCGAACCGCATAGAACTGGCTCACCCCGCGGGCCTAGGGCCCGTTTGCCCACCCCTAGTACCAGGAGCTTTTTGTTAAAATTCCCTATTGATTATGGATGAGGAAATTGATGAAGATCAATCCGCACCAAAATGCATAAACATGATTATTTTCTACCACTGTAGTAAAGAACCATCTACATATGTTATGCATCTATGCATTCTAGATTTTTCATTTCTGCATCTTGGGGGCCTAAAGATGAAGATAGGTCATTAAACTCTTGGCAATGAGGGAGTGGAGGACCACATGAATGATATAAACCCTAATTTATGCACTTTGCAGCATTTTTGAAGGAGGCAAATTGTTTGCCCTCCTGTTTGGTGCCCTCCCCATCCCCATTTGTACGGTTACGGTTAAGCCACGTTAATATTTTATATTGATTTTTTTTATAATGATATAAGACAAAAAACAATAGAAATATAATACGTCAACATTTTTGAACCCTTTTTTCTATAGTTGAACCAACTCACTGGGCTCATGGTGATTTTGCAGTTTGGCATTGTTCAACTCTGTGGCCAGATGGGCCCAAATTTCTTTATGAGGCTCAAATATTTCTTTTTGATGGCCGTGCACGGCATAACCAAATTATGAACTACCCCAATGTCAACAACACGCTGGGTCTACTCTACTCTCTCTCTCTCTCTCTCTCTCTCTCTGTAGTCTGAACTCTTCTACATTTATTACTATCCATTTGCTGTGCGGCATATATATATATAGACACACACACACGCTTGTGTTGGGTGTGTATATATTGCAGCAACACATCTTAATATCTCATTCATTCTTCTTGCGCATCACCTGCGACTTGCCTTATTAACGAAACCATTTCCAGTTTGTTATGAATGGTAGTCCAAGTCCCACGTAATTAATTTCTTCAACCGATCGCGGCCGGCCTGCAGGTAGTTTATACTTCCCACCTCAACAATCACTATGCATGTGCGCGTGCGCACACACACATATACGTGTGTGTTATCAGTTTTGTATTGATTGGAATCGCATCATCAAATTGCATGCTATGTAAACGTTTATTTTGTTATATAGATTTATGCATGTGTCAGTTGTATAATTAGAGAGAGATGGGGGTTGTATTATTACATAATACATTAGCTAGCCCTTTCAAAGATAATGTTGCGTATACAGATTAAATATTGACCAGGGGTGGATCTTTCAAGCTCGCGTATCCCAAAGTAGGCCGGCCTACAATATTTGCTTCACTAGCTACGTACTTGGCTACTTTTAAGCCTCAACTGAAGCTCAATTATATGTGGTCGATTGTGTATACAGGTTAAAGTACCTTCCGGTTACTTTGAATGATGATTTATAATAGACTGATCGGTTTTATATGCAAAAGTAATTTGATCCATCTGAAATTAGGATGCCTTAGTTGAATGGCAGCAAATCGTGGTTATCAGATATATCTCTATATATCATGAACTTTTTATTATTACTAGCTTCCAATGCATATTATCTTCCAACTTATTATATAAAGGCCTTGTTTATGCTTAACCGCAGCTCCAAATTAGTACAGGTTAGTTTAGGCAGTCATATTTAAGGTCATGTTAATTCAATAAGGTCAATACAAATATCATTGACTTCATTCTGGAGTCGATATGCAAGTTCCACAAAGTAATCCTTGTTTTATTATTGCATATTGTTAAAGATTTGTTTAATTAGCTAGCTTTATCATTTAGTTAATCTGCAGTACTAGTTGTCCTTTATTCATTTATAAACAGATGCTAAAATGACAGATGGAGTTTACTTGTAGGTGAAGGATCAAACCTCTCAACTTGCACTTAGTTATTGCAGTGATTGCTCTATAAATACTGGAACTCAAAGTCTCAAGTTTCATCAAGCCTCCCTCAACCAATTGTATATCACATGGGAACCTTATTGGATCATTCCAATATGCATAATGAACACGATGATCAGCGGCAGCTTCCTTATGAGATTGTGGAGAAAATTCTGCTGCAAGTGCCGGTGAAGTCCCTCCTTCGTTTCAGAAGCATATGCAAGCCATGGCTTGCTCTCATCTCCGACCCAAAGTTTGTCAAGTCACACCTCCTTATCCGCTCTACCAAACAAGACGACGATGACGATGATTGTGATCTTGATCATGATGCTCACGGAAAAACTACATCGTCAAGAGCACGACTCATGCTTTCCTCTTTGTCCCTCCTCCAGTACGTCCACGTACAAGTTCTCAATACCACTACTATTGATGCACACGCAACGGCAACCTTGCCATCCCGTGGCGACAGTGAAGCAGAAAGTCTCGCAGAAGCAAAGGCAGAAACAGAAACGAAGGCAGAAGCAGCTGGCACAACTGGTGCTAATAGTACTACTAGGGTCGTGCAGGAGGAGCATGAGTACTCTGTGACAATGAGGCGGCAGGTCAAAGACATGAAGATTGTCGGCTCTTGTAACGGCCTGGTGTGTTTGTTGGTTGACTCGGAAGATATGATGATTTATAATCCATCCACCAGGCAGGTTCATGCAGCCCCAAAGTTGGCGACAATCTCCGGTAAGGATTACTTCTATGGCTTCGGTGACAATTCGCGCAGGGAAGACTATAAAATAGTGAGGGCCACTTCTTCAAGTAAGGCTGGCGTTTTCGCCACCCAACTTGACATTTATTCTTTGAAGACCAATACATGGAGAGCCAGGTCCGAAACCCTGCCTTTTTACTTTCTGTTCAACCTTGTCGGAACCCTACTCAACGGGGCTCTCCACTGGGCAGTCCGCCGCGGAAAGACTACTGATCAAGCTTCCGCAAATGGTGATGATGAGAGGCCTTTCTCAATCGTTTCTTTCGATATAGCGGAGGAGACGTACCGGCAAGTTCCCCTACCGGGCGACGGCGACAAGAATTTCTCGTTCTATGGTTTGAGGGTTTTAGGAGGGCGGCTGAGTATGCTTCACAGCCCTCATGGGTCTGATTACCAGGTGTGGTTAATGAATGAGTACGGGGTCAAGGCATCTTGGTCTATTTTCACTACCATTCCGCTGAAGATGGATTCTGAATACCTAGGGCTGATGTCACTTCTGAGTATTTTGAAGAACGGGGAGATTGTAATCCTCTTGCATCAAAGGAAACTAGTCATTTACAATCCGGCGGACAGAAACTTCCGAGTCGTCTTTGCCGGGGATGTACACTCTTCTCAAGTGGCTTTGTACATGGAGAGCCTTGCTCCTCCCACAGCCAGAGGCGGAGAGCCGATTTCTGTCCCCGGCCCAGCCGGCTCTCCGCCATGTCCAAGTCCGACTAGTAATCTGAAACCCCAATTTTGAAATTAAAAAAAAAGTCGGATTTGGTGCTTTTGAGTTTTCCTCTGCAAATTGTTTAGTTTTCCGGCAGCGAGGTAAGGTGGCGCTCGTTGGGTGATGACGTGTTGGGATCCGGCGAAGCCCGAGTGATCTGACCGATTGGTTGGCCGAAGTGCTACTACAGCTAGGGGGATTTATATTTGAAACCTTAGCTGCTATGTTTTCCGCTCTGTATATATAAATACACAAATTTGTATCGATTGGGGCGCCATTTTGTTGGCGACTCCAAGCTTTCTGGCACCTTATTAACTTCCTTATAAGCATCAATTATTTAAGCAGCCCCAAATTAAATTCGAAATTAACAGATCGCATTCGTTAAAATTTGGGTTCACATTCCAGTACAATTCTTCATCGTCTCCGTTTCGCAGTTACCCGTTTTGTGACCCTATCCGTTAGTTGTGACGTCTCCGCTATCCCTCGCCGTACATTCCTTCCGTGCACCCCGTTTCCGTGTACCGGGTTCTGAATTCGTTAGTTTATCCAGGTTAGTTGTTTCGTTGTCGATTAATTCATTGATTGTTTCGTTTGTTCGTATTATTTATTGAGTATTATTTCTATTTGTGCAGGTATATATATTTTCCTACAGTATTTGCACCAAAATTTGAGAAATTGATTTTTTGGAGGGATTCAGAAGTTGGGAGGCTAGAAATGCCTAATAAGAACCCTAATTTAGGGAGAAGGATTGGACTGAAAGGAATATAATATATTCTGATTAATTGATGGAAAATTTACTAAAATATATGAATAAAACAATTAACGAAAATTGAGAGTGACTCAGATTCTATAACACTATGTTTGAACGAGGGAAATAAACTTGGAATTTTGATAAAAGTCAGAATTTATAAATTGACATGCACCAATTTCCTTGTTTGGATTCATAAACATAGAAATTTAGAATTTCCGCGTGGAAAAAAAACTTGAAATTTGGGACCTCCAATTCCCAAGTTCAAATTCCATGTAAATAGGTGTCATTTCCCAATTTCTATGATTGAGAGTTTAAAAATAACAAATTCCGCATTCAATTCCATTGTTCTTTTAAGTTAGCCAAACAAGAAAATTTACAAATTCTAGAAAATAAAATCTCGTCATTTCAATTTCCGTCATTTTTAAATTCTTTAGTAATCTTAAATTTCTTCATCCAAACATAGTGTAAATGGATTTCATTGAATTAATGATTTGAACCGATAATACTCAGTAATGTTTTTAATTAACTTATGATTGAGAGAGAGGTAAATGTCCTTAATTAATTAAATTATAATAATAGTGAATGTCCTTAATTAATTAAGTTAAGGAAAAAATAGATGATTTTTCTTAATCAATTAAATTATAGGTGGAGTAATCAAATATGAATTTTCTTAATCAATTAAATTATGGAAGGAATAATCAAACATGAAACACCGTTATGGTTGTCTGCGATTGAGCTACAAGTACCTTGT